CGGCAACGGGATACCCAGACACAGAGAGTATATAAACCCTAAACCCTAAACCCTAAACCCTAAACCCTAATCCTAAACGCTAACGCTAAACGCTAAACCCTGATTTGAAACCCCTAAACCCTAATCCCAGCCATTTCACTGGGATTCATTCCGGGGTTTAGGGTTTAGGGTTTAGGGTTTAGGGTTTGGGGTTTAGGGTTTAGGGTTTAGAGGTGTGGTTGCAGCATTCGGTGTTTATTGTTCAGGCTCAGAAGCTGCAGCAGGAGCTGCTGCTGCTGCAGCAGAAGGTAGAGGAGCAGCAAGCTCTGCTGCTGCAGGAGCAGCAGGAGAAGCAGCAGCTGCAGCAGCAACTGAAGGAGTATCAAGAGCAGCAGCAGCAAAAAGAAGAACAGCAGCAGCAGCAACAGCAGCAGCAGCAGCAGGAGCAGCAGCAGCAGCTAGCACTTGCTGCTGCAGAGCCGTCACAGTCGGTGAGGAACGATCCACTCTTTCGCTTCTTGGCGACTCCCCTGCCTAGGGTTTAGGGTTTAGGGTTTAGGGTTTAGGGTTTAGGGTTTAGGGTTTTGTGCTGCAGGAAACCCTCGAACTGCAGCAGCAGAAGAGCGACGGCTTCTCTGCTCGTGGCATTCTCTCTCGGTACCGTGCTGAGGCTTTTCAGCTTGCTGCTGGGGGTACTAAACCCTAAACCCTAAACCCTAAACCCTAGGCCGTTGGCGTGCAGTTTATCAGGGTGTTTCTCTTCCTTGTTGTTAGGGTTTGTGTGTTGTAGTAGGAGAGAGAGAGAGAGAGAAGAGCAGCAGCAGCATAGAGGGTTTAGGGTTTATATGTTTCATAGAACCGGCTAGGGTTTAGGGTTTAGGGTTTAGGGTTTAGGGTTTGTGTGGTGCAGCACGAGAAAGGGAGCAGCAGCTGCTGCTGCTGCAGAGCGAATTGAGGTTTGCTCGCCAGGAGAAAGAAGTGTTTAGCGCTGAGTGTTTGGCTCTGGCTTCTACTGTTGAAGCCCTCAAGTAAACCCTAAACCCTAAACCCTAAACCCTAAACCCTAGAAAAGGGTTTAGGTACACTACAGCCACCCCTCACTCAACAAACCCTCGTACCAACAGCAGCAGCAGCAGCAGCAGCAGTAACAGCAGAAAGTGCAGCAGCAGCAATAGATAGCACAGCTTCGCTTCAGGATTAGGGTTTACAGTTCTTGTTAGGGTTTAGGGTTTAGGGTTTTAGCTAGGGTTTAGGGTTTAGGGTTTTGGGGTTTGCAGGCGTAAAGTGCAACAACTGGAGGAGCAGCAAAGAGAACAGTCACAAAACTCTCAGTGCGTCTCCCTTGCTGCTGCTGCTGCTGCTACTGCTGCTGCTGCTGCTGTTGCTGCTGCTGCTGCTGCTGTTGCTGCTGCT